AACTAGTAATATTTGTGACTTCCATTCGGAAGGAATCTGTTGCGAATCTCTAGGGTACCGACTAGCATGGCTGAAGGTTTCGTGGTTTTCCATAATTCTTCTGCAAAGGATTTCCTGATAGTACCGTATATTAAGCCACGACCCCTTCTATCGACATTTATAATTCATTGTATTCGGCGTTGCATAACATAAATTACATAAAGAAAAGCGGCCGTGAAGACTGAAATTTTGTAATGATCTCAGAATAATTAAATACGTAATTAAGAAGTTGTACTATAAGATTAATTTAACAGATAAGTAGATTTATGAGAGAAAACGCCAGATACTATAATTGCTTACTGATCCAATCCGCTCATTCGTGAGACAGTGTTTCTGCACTGACGAAAGTTCTTACTAATCTCCTCAATTTTCATGTTTAACTTAAAGGGCGCACCCCCACCCCCTTGTACTGTAGTTCAACTTTGTTTGTGTGGCTTTCATACCAGACTATTCCAAGCCAATTTTCGTGGGAATGTTTCTTCCTAATTACATGTTACATTTCCAGTGTCTCAAATCTTTTAACACAGAATTTCTTTCATATTGGAAGTAAATATAATTTCCTGCTTCCAGACATACAGAATTATGTTCCGAAAATGGCAGGTAACATGTAATATTTTTCCTTTGGATTGCGTGGGTAGTAAACCCATGTGTACACTGCACTATACTCTCAAGGCGGTGACTATGCAGATAACTGTCTACTAGAATTTGACGCCGTGTAGTCTGGTACACCGTTACTATTATTTTTGTTGAGTGTACTGCCTCCACACTGCATGGCGTTATATCAAGAACACACAAATCTTGAGCATTTATACGACAGCATATTTTATTTGTCACTTTATACAGATCAGAACGCGAATATCGTTAATACTTTTCCTATTAGAGATTTTATGGTATGCATCCTATTGTCTGTCATACGAAAGATATTGTCACGTTTCCTAGGTAACGCGGCAAGAAATTTATGTGGGTCTCTGATTAGACGAATATGATTATTGGACAGTTGCTTGTTTACACTAAAAATTATAATCACTCTTACTTATAACGCCTCCAGAAGTTTCCTCTTTAACTGTTATACAATCCTGCATCAATATTCTCGGCGGAGAGTCTGTTCTTTGTTCTTCTCGGATCGCTCGTTGCATCTGAACTATCCTTAGCTATCGTTGGATCAGACCTCTCTTCTTAGGTCTCGTCGAATCTAAATTGATTTGGTCCTCTGAACTGTTCTTCGCTATACCCTACGCTCGGACGAGATGGAAGTCACCTTGTCGAAAGGTCCAATTCCGCTGTCAACTGCAATACTTATTAGCTGGCCTATCGGTTGGCGCGGGAATTCAACAATTCTGCCTCTGTTCGGTAGACAGTTTCATAGGTAGCATGCGTTCTCATTGTCCGTTGCGCAGCAATGGATGTCCTATAGTCCTCTACCACCCTCCATGGGGCTGATGGCGTTTTTTATTATTTCATATGAATACGAATACTATGGAAGCGTGGGACTCTACCCTCATCCGCACTTGCGGGCAAGAAGGAAGTTAATAACTTGAGATCATACTAAATCAGCAAGAGTTAACAAGAAAATATTTAAAACTGTAGCGCCATCTGTTGAACATCACTCCACAAGTGATTAACTTTCTTCAGAGGATCGGATTGTACAGCCCAATAAGATACTAAGACGCTACATTTTAACTACACTTTGTGGTTTTCCATGTGGTTCAAGTCCACAGATGGCGCTACAGTTTTAAACATTTCATGAAGTGAAGTCTGAGACAATCGCCCAAGCGGGTTTCATTAAACTCCACATGGGATTAAAAAGAAAAAAACATTGGCCCGCCTCCATCCACGCGCCCTTGGGGGTTGACTTGAACTTATTCATTTGACACCAACTTCTATCAGCGAGAGTTAAGGACTCAATATAATTCTAGCGCCATCTGTGGATTAGAACCTCGTGGAAAGCCACGAAGTGAAGCCTGAGACACTCGCCCAAGCGAGTTTCATTAAAATCCACATGGGATTAAAAAGAAAAAAAATATGGCCAACCTCCGCCCACCAACCCCCCGCCCTTAGGGGGGTGACTCGAACTTATTCATTTGACACCAACTTCTATAAGCGAGAGTTAAGAATTAAATATAAATCTAGCGCCATCTGTGGACTAGAACCTCATTGAAAGACTTGGCCTCAAATGAATAAGTTCAAGTCACCCCCTAAGGGCGGGTGGTTGGTGGGCGGAGGTGGACCAAATTTTGTTTCTTTTTGATCCCATGTGGATTATAATGAAACTCGCTTAGGCGAGTGTATCAGGTTTCACTTCGAGGCCTTCAATAAAGTTCTAGTCCACAGATGGCGCTAAGTTATATTCAATTCTTAACTCTCGCGGATACAACTTGGCGTCAAATGAATAAGTTCAAGTCACCCCCCTAAGGGCGGGTGGTTGGTGGGCGGAGATGGGCCAAATTTTGTTTCTTTTTGATCCCATGTGGATTATAATGAAACTCGCTTAGGCGAGTGTATCAGGTTTCACTCCGAGGCCTTCAATAAAGTTCTAGTCCACAGATGGCGCTAAGTTATATTTAATTGTTAGCTCTCGCGGATACAACTTGGCGTCAAATGAATAAGTTCAAGTCACCC